TTGTTATTTATTTGAATGTATGTTGAATGCAGCAGAAGATGCTAGGACAAGCAAAGGTGTGGCTCATACATTGTAGACATCAGATTTAAAGAACATCGTGGCTTATTAAAAGGTATCAAAGCCATAGCATAAGAAAAAATAGAAAAGGATTTATTAACAAATACTCATTTACAATTGCATAAAAAAGTTCATCAACATATGGCAATGTGTGGTTACTCTTGGATATCTTTTGGCGGCGTTATTAGGACATTTTGGGTGGTCTTTACCATATGTTGATGAACTTTTTTATGCAATTGTAACGGAGTATTTGTTAATAAATCCTTTTCTTTTTTTTTCTTATGCTATGACTTTGGTGCCTCATTAAACCCCAACAATCTCTTGATATGTGTTTCAATAAGAGGTCTTTAAAACAGTGAGGTGCAGCTAAGGACAGAGTTTGGTTACAGTTCATTTTAAAACTGGCTACTTTTCATATGTGAACTTATGTGAGCTACATTTACAATGTTGTTTATTTAATTGTTCTGGCTTAATAAATGGGCTGTTGTAGCCAATTAAACCCAGCATCACACAGTCTTGTGTTTAATTTGGGAAAGGTTGGGCGATGGATCTAAATAAGAGATTGTGGTCAAAATGATTAATCAGCTTGTTAGAGAATGTTTCTATGCAGATAGTCTTTTTCAGTGAGTGTTACAAGTAATCGTTCACTGATTTTGGACAGCTCAGAAAGAGTTCAGGGCATGTTCGTATTAGGAGCGTCTAACACAGTTTGGATAAACTTTATGTTGGCCCACCTTTCAGTCAGCAAACATTTGCAGAAGATTACCTTCATTTTTATGTAGAAAGGAAAAACCAGCCATAAATGAACAACATTTCCCAAACCCAGTGGAAGAGTTGCCTGTAGCAAGCAAACAGGTTTAATCATTTCTTTATTACGCCTGCTTTTCCCTATGTTATATCTGTGATTTCCCAGGTGGCTTCTTTTTATGCCTCTTTTATGCTCTATGCAACCTTGTGTAGTTATGGTGTTCCATGATTCCAATTGAGAAACATTGTTTTGTATTTACTATGACAATTTTTAGCAAATTTTACTAAACTGCCACAAGGGCAAGCATTAAAACATTTGCTTTGTGCATAGGGACAATACCAACACTAAACAGGGTCATACAAAGGAATGGAGCAACATTTTTAAAAGGAGAAAATTGAATTTCATGCAAATTTTTACTAATTGAAATCTTAACCTCTTTGAAAAAACTCCAAGTCCCTGACCCTTCACAAGAATGCAGATCACGAAAGATTGTCAGTTACTGTATTCATTAGTGACAATGTATCTCAGAAAATGGATCAGAATTAAAGCCCAACAATTACTATTTGCACAATCAGAAATCTGCAGTGTGAACCTCCCTGCTTACCTGTGACAGTGAGAAACCTTCAATGTTGAGCCTAGAGGGTCATATGTGAAGTAAAGAACAACACACGTGCACATCTTCCAAGCTGTGATAACACAGAGAGCTTCCAAGGCCACACACTAAGCTAGTGCACCCAAGTCGTTGTCCGCAGACACGCCTCCCGCCCGCAGTGCGATTGCCTTCACTGGAATGCGTGCTACTGTAATGCCCTACGTTCCAGTGCATTGTGCTCACTAAAAAATAGTGAATGCACGATTTTTTTGCAATCGCACGCCACAGGAATGCAGGGCAATGCAGAACCTTGAGTTCCGCTGAGGGCGATCGCACAGCGGGCGGGTGGTGTGTTTGTGGTGCCATTGACATGAATAGCACCACCATACCTCCTCTGGCCCCAGAACGCGGGGAGCCTTTGTTTATGTGATCCACTGCGGAACTGTGCCGTGAAGGCATTGAATGGTGTGGACAGGCCCTTTAGTGGTTAAAACAAAATGCGGTGGTATGTTCAGCATTATGGTAGGGCACTTGATATGCCCTAAATATGCGCGTGAAAAATGCTTTCCTCTACCTAAATTGTGGAAAGTACCCTAACACCTGGGAGTATTTGTTTACAAGTCAATAATTTCCAGCACGAGCTGAAAATTTATAAAACATACACCAGAATGCAAAGAGATGATTTCAGAAAACACTGCTCATACATTATATATGAGCTCTGTACCAAGAATAGATAACCTGTGGGCTTCTAACTCTTACACAACGACAGCTGGAACCAGACTGCATCATAGAAGAGGAACAGAGGGTGCAAGCTTATAGCAGATATCTCTCCTGCTGAGGAACGAAGAGTATGTAAAAAATACATTATAGAAACCAAAACTTTTAAACCAACCTTTTACATTTTCAATATTTATGAAGCTACATAGATGCAAAAAAAAGAGTAACGGCAGAGACTGCAGTGTGCAGAAAAGAAGAATTATACTGTTGGTCTCCAATTTAAACTAGAGCATAGTGCAGTGCCTGGGAAAATGTACCATTATTTAGGCTCAACTCCAGCCTTACCTTAAGTCTTGCACAGTTGTACAGCTCCTCTTCTGTACTGAAATTGCTTACTCTGATTTCACTGCACACTTTAAAGTGACACTAAACTTAGGAGTTAAATCTTAAAAATGAATTCAAGTACCTTAACTATTAACAAAAATGTATCTTATTTGTGTATCACTCAGCTGTAGATCCTCAAATCATCTCTGAGTTCATGCTGACACTGTCCTTGCTTCTGGAGGGTGACTACTTTTGTTCCCCATGGTCCCTGTGTGTTTTGTAAAGTAGCCACCGCTCCAAGCCCACTCCTGTGATGAACTACACCAGTTAAAATAGTCCAGATACAACTTTAGCCCATTATGGCTAGAGGACATTCAATTAGAGTATGCAATGGGGGGAATGTATCAAAACTGGAGCAGACAGGATCTCTGGCAACCAATCAGCATCTCTCTTCAGTTTGCTCAGGTAATATTTGAAAATGAGACAGAGAGGCTGATTGGTTGCAGTGCAGATCTGCTCCAGATTTTGTCTGCTCCAGTTTTGATAAATTCCCCCCAATGTATTTCAAGGGTCCAAAACACACCCCTTCATCAGGCCTAATGAGAAAAATCATGTATGTGGACTTAAAATCCCTGCAGCTTGAAAGTTGTATTGAGTTGTAATTGGAGTACTTCAGGCTTGTCAGTAGCTGGTTTGGCAGGTAGAGTTGGCTACTTTACTTAAATGTCCCCTAACCCTAATGGGATAAAGTTGTATCTGGACTATTTTAATAGGTGTGGAGTTTCAATTTCTACATCTACTGTGTTCACTGTCAACCCAAGGATACTGTAGAAATTCTCTGGCTTGTGGAAGCTGACTACCTGTTAGACAGATCACACATATTCACAACACTTAAAGAAGAACTATGCGGTGAGTGCTTTTCACTCACCTCATAGTTCTAGCCGACCTGTGACAATGAGACTGTCACAGGTCGGCTCAGAAGATCGGGAGGTGAGCGAACACATACCGGTGTTCGCTCACCTATCGATCCTTTCACGGCTCTCTGCCGTGACAGGGGAGGGGCTGGATTCCCCCCTCCCTGCTCCGATCCGCCAGCGCTGACTGGCGGAACGGACTGGGGAGGGGGCGGGTACAGCTGGCTCTGCTTCTAGATAGGCAGAGCAGGCTGTCAGTCATGCAGCTGGGCGGATCCCGGCACAATTGTCGGGATCCGCTTCAGCTGCGGCGTCTCAGTATACCGCGAGCAGCAGCTCGTGGTATACTGTGGCGTCTCAGTATACCGCGAGCTACAGCTCGCGGTATACTGAGCCTAGGGTGATGGGAGGACGCTAGTTTGTGTCCTCCCGTTACCCTAAGGAGAACTATGGGGAAAAGCCTTAACCCCATAGTTTTCCTTTAACTACTGTTGGATGAGAAACACCCAAACTGCACCACTCCAACCTGGCACAGTCACTTAGCCTGAGCTCAAGGCATGCTTTATAATGATAAAATGTAAACTTATTTTTTAATAACTAATGCTATATATATTGACACGGCAGAGGTATATCAATGCAGACTTTTTACATTACTAATAGGTCAAATTTAAAGCATTTTTGAAGACAGTAGACTAAAAGCCCATTTTAATACAGCAAATGGCATGCTATGACTTAAATCACATTTATTGTTTTTAAAAATAAAGAACATTAACATTTTTTTAATGCGTTTTTTGGTAGTCCCGTTAAAAACACAGCCTTATTACCTCCCTCTTCCTCATAGAGCGGGGTGTGTTTCTTCCTCATAGAGCGGTGTGAGCGGGGTGTGTTTGCGGCCAGGCTGTGTATCCACCTCCATCCACATTGACAATGGCTGTCAATCAGAAGAAACAAGGGCTGGAGTGATGCTACTGCAGTAGGTATGGCTCTGCTACAGGAGATATAGGCAAGCTGGTATGGTGTCCTGTTATTCCAAGCAGTAATCCCAAGGACACAAACTGACCACACCAGCACAGATCTGCTTCTGTGTTTTGTGTGGTCAGATCAAAACAGGAAATAAAAGGAAATGGCAGGATCACTAGGCATTTAGAAGTAACATGCAGAATAAAACCATTACAGGTTACCCTTACTAAGAAAGAAGTATATGAACAACCCGACATATTCTTCGTTTTTGGGGTAACATATACTTTACAAGCTTCAAGAAAACTGCTGGAAGCTTGTTGACAACTTTATGAATGGTTTGTTTGCTTGCTGTGCACATTTTTATGTAGACAAGTGTTTATTAGCTGAAACCTATGTGAATTAAACCTAAATCAAGTTGATAAGTGGACAGAATCTGGAGCAGTTGCCCATGGCAACCAATCAGCTTATCTCTTAAGTTTGTTCAGTTAAGCTTTGAAAATGAAAGATGGAAGCTGACTTGTTATGAACCATGGCCATGATCAATTTCTCCAGATTATGTCTGCTCCACTTTTGATACATTCTCCCTAAAGAATTAAGTTTAGTAATTCTGTATAGCAACTCTATATATGTTTGTTTTATATACAGTATGTAGTAGTTAATACCTACACATATTATTCTCTTTTCCCAGGTATCAGATCCACACTGGACTGCAGCATTCAATCATACGACCACGACAGCCCAACTGTTTGCCTCTTCATCAAGTGACACTGCCCCAAAAGCTGCAGGAAGCTGGTTATGCAACACACATGGTCGGAAAATGGCATCTGGGATTTTATAAGAAAGATTGCCTTCCAACAAGACGTGGATTTGACACTTTTCTTGGCTCTCTGACTGGGAATGTGGACTATTACACGTATGATAACTGTGATGGCCCAGGTGTTTGTGGCTTTGACCTGCATGAAGGAGAAAATGTGGCTTGGAACCTCGCTGGCAAATACTCCACCATATTCTACTCCCAGCGTGTAAGTCATATATTGGCCTCTCATAATCCCCAGCAACCTATATTTATATACATAGCTTTTCAAGCAGTGCATACTCCCTTGCAGTCTCCTCGAGAGTACATCTATCAATATAGGAATATGGGCAATGTAGCAAGGAGGAAGTATGCCGCCATGGTAACATGTATGGATGCAGCTGTTAAGAACATCACCCGGGCATTGAAAAAGTATGGTTACTATGACAACAGTATTATTATATTCTCGTCAGACAATGGGGGTCAAACCTTCTCTGGGGGAAGCAACTGGCCTTTACGGGGTCGCAAAGGCACTTACTGGGAGGGGGGTATAAGGAGTTTGGGATTTGTTCATAGTCCATTGATTAAAAAGAAAAGAAGGTCTAGTCGAACCCTAATGCATATTACAGATTGGTATCCAACGCTAGTAAGTCTGGCAGGAGGAAACATTTCTGAAACAGAGGGACTTGATGGCTATGACATGTGGCCATCAATAAGTGAAGGAAAAGAGTCACCACGGACTGAAATTCTGCATAATATTGATCCCTTGTATAATCTTGCCAGGTCTGGATCCTTGGAAGAAGGTCAAGGAATATGGAACACCGCTATTCAGGCCTCAATAAGGGTTAAAGATTTTAAATTGTTAACTGGGGACCCTGGATACAGTGATTGGATACCACCACAGACACTCACCAACTTTCCAGGAACTTGGTGGAACCTAGAACGACATACTGAGGGAGCCCGTAAATCAGTATGGCTTTTTAACATCACAGCAGACCCTTTTGAACGTTATGACTTGTCTGCACAGAAGCCTGAAATTGTTAAGGAACTTTTGGAACGTATAGCTTACTATAACCACACTGCTATCCCAGTGCGATATCCAAATGAGGATCCAAGAGGGAATCCAGATCTCAACGGTGGCGCATGGGGACCATGGGCTAGTGAGGATGAGGATGAAGAAGAGAACTGGATAAATGGACATCTAAAGAGTGCAAACAAAAAGAAGAAATGCAAGATATGCAAGCTTAGGTCATTTTTTAAAAAACTAAACACCCGTATTATGTCGAATCGCATCTAAGTCGATATCTGAATTGACATTGGTGTTGCAGTTTCTGTTGAGGTCTCATTCAAGCATTTCACAAGGTTTAATGGTCAGCATCTTGAATTCCATTCAAGATTATGTGACTACAAAAATTAGAATGGGCCTCAGTTCAAGATGAAGCAGAAATATTGAGAAAGGGGTATGCTTGAGGTGTCCAAAGATCTCCAAATGTATGCACTATATCAGGGAACATACAGTGTCCAGATTGACAATTATTCTGGACCAAAATGAGCACTAGCTAAAATATTTATAGACAGCAAAAGGAACATTGAGATATTTTAGACCTCAATGTGCAGTCTACAGGGAGTCTAAAGACGACACTTTTGTAAAGTTGAAATGTAATCAAATAAACTTTAATTTGGAAGGTTAAAGGGAAATAGACTATTTTCAGGGTGATTGATTGCTGTAGGATTACTTCATATACGATGCCTGTATTAGTATATGCTGCTGCCTAACACAATATATTGTTGCATTTCTTTCTGATCATGGTGGCATCATGGCATAGCATACATGTGTGTATATAGGTATAGTTTTCGTTTGACACCTATTGTAGCAGAAGCACTCTTTGTAAAAAATGTAGAGTGACCTAATGACATGTTCTTCTTATTATCATTAACTTACACCATACTTTCAAATATCTCACAGAGTGCAACAAGTGAGAACCCATGAAAGTTTATTGAACAGACACATCATGAACTTTCCATTGATACAGTGAGAGAAACTAAACAATTATTCCAAAAGCAAACCTGTCAAGGAGGATAGACCCAACTATCATCACCAAACACACACAATCTGGACTAGGTTCTCTTTGGTAGCAAAACTTACACTTATCACTGCCATGCCATTGTCTGCTACTGTCACAAATGTTTGCAAGAAAATACTATCAGTGCACAGTATTGCTGGTACTTGCACACTGTTTGCCACATTTCTCCCATGGCTCCTGTAACAACACTTGTGTCTGCTGTGAACTGCTCAGGCCCCCCTGAACACTGCATTGTGGGAGGAGGAGTGTCAGGAAGTGGACTCAGTAGTAGTTAGCAGTCATTATCTCTGCTCAACATTTGGGTGCACCAATGCATCAAAGCAATTCTTTCCTTTTCCACTGTTTACAGAAATCACTGCCAAATCTAAACCATCCAGTGTATACATAACTAATCAGTGCATAATTGCTAACAAAAAACTCTGCTTCATTCTGGCCTCAAAAATCCAATAATTCCCCTGTTCAGTGGCACCATCTTCCGTCCCCTACAGCACAAAGAAGATAAAGCCAGGTGGTGCGCACATGAAAGACAACTCTGCTCAATACTGAGACATGTGTCATGTGACAATGATCTCTGACTGGCAGTAGGCATAAATCTGTGATAAAAGAAAGTGGTTAGAGATAGAATTGAGCTGCTGAAATTTGACAAAAAGTTGAATTTCACATATTAGTAACAGCAGTATTTAGTCTGTTACTGAAAAACAAGACGTGCAAAAGAGTTGATGGAGTAGATCATGAAGGTTCTCCTCTGTTTGCATGCTAACCAAGATCACCATTGGATTGTACGCATCTAAATGTGCCAAAGCATACCTTTCTCTACATAGTCATCAATATGGCACCACCAGAGTCTCCAAAAATTCCAATGCAAATACCAACTTTATAAAAGACAGCACTATGCTTAAGTACACCTTCATGTTACAATGCTCAATTCGGACAATAGGTCACTCAGGCACTTCTTTTACATGATATATTCTGAAAATTATTTTCTAGAGAGAGGTACAATCTAACAATCTAACAACCTATGGTGGGTACTTTAAGCATTATTTAGTGTGGAAACTATAAATTAGATAAATGCAATGCACACTTTAATTGATGTCATAGAAATAAAGCTAAGAGGGTCCAGGAGGCTTCTGATGCTTCCTGTTCTACAACACATGCCTTCAAGTCTGTTACTGTCCTTCCGTCATGTATATTTACCTGTCTTCCTTTGTCGTGCCTTCCTTCTGATATCAGCCTCCAAACATGGACACACTTTAGGCTCTAATGAGAGTATTTATATGGATAGATACTGGTTAATGCAGGCAGGAAAAGGTACTGCAGTGATGAACATATAATAATGTAAGAGTTAATATACTTGATTGAAACTTGGAATGGGCAAAGGCGACCTGATCCAACAACAGCACCAAGATCCAAGGAGGAGTATGTTTCACCTACCTCACACTCACATCTCTGACATTGCTTATCATAAGGGCAGAGGGCATAACTCCAGTCCTCAAGGCTATGAGCTTATGTAACCAGGAAGACATAAATACACCACAACATCCAAGACACAGTCCATTAATTGTGTCATCCGTCCCTGGGCCCTCACTACGGCAACCTGTGAAATATCATAGTTGAACTCATTGTATGCAGTGCCATATTTAGACCTATTGCTGCCCTGGGCACACATGAATAATGATAACTTTTGTAAAAGCCTCGTCCTTTGTATCGATCAGTTACTGTATTAAAAAAATGATGTTGCAATGTATCTTTAGAGGTGCATCATGTCTGCTTTATTTCACAGCTCCTTTTTAACTGTACACACCAACAAACAAGGGAAAATAAAGATGATTTCCTGTATTTAAAGCGGCTTTAAACAAAGTTTTACAGTTCTTTTTCTTCAGAAAGCAGCCACAGCCTGAAATGAAAAACCTGCCAGCATGCTGTAGAGAAATATCCTTGCACTGGTCCAACGTACCCACTGGTGAGTCACACCTATTGCTCTGTACTCACCAAATCTCTAGATGGGACCATACAGATTCAGGATCAAGTACTTCCTGTCACAGGATGACAACACTCTGTTACACTGTGTCTACCAGTTGTACCTTTGTATTGTTGTCTTGTAAAGCGAGCTTCCAGTTTAGACTGTTTCAAAACACATAGCGCAGGCATGGTCCACTAATTTCATCATCAGTTGTTTTGGGAAATGCCATCTAGCATTATCAGGCGTGCGTATAAAAAAAGGTAAACACAAGCATTTTATTTTAAAAATGTTAATTGTTTATGATGCCTGGTGCTAAAGCACACTAGTTGTCCTATTTATCAATGTTTTCATACACGATTCACACATCTTTAACACAAGATTCACACTATTGTTCATACTGAACGGAAAGAAAGGAAGGGAAGGAGCGCAACTAACTGGCACAGACTTTGTGGAGGGGAAAGAGAACATTTTCTCTTTCCTCCACGCCGTTCTTAACACGTCATGTAAAACCCCCCCTTTGCACGGATCCACTTCTGGCCACTGAACACCCACCTGTCACCCCGACCAGACCTCACGACATCACCAGGAGATCATCACCTGTGTGCCCATCCATCTCATCTTTCGTGAGTGCCCATTTTTCATCCCCTCCCACTTTCACCTCGATTCACTGTTATTCCCTGGTCAATCCCCCTCCACAAAGTCTGCGCCAGTTAGTTGCGCTCCTTCCCTTCCTTTCTTTCCATTCAGTATCACACAGTTAGACACCCCGGTTTAATAACACAAGGAGCCGCACCACGGCCACGACACACCATACCTCCCCTAGGAGTGCGCTAACTAATCAGTCTTCATTTTCCAACTTTCTCCACTATTGTTCATAGAAGATTCAGTTCAAAAATATTTGAATCTTGGGTAAAAACATTCATAAATAGACCCCTAAATGTCATTCGGTTAGGGCTTTCACATCTACAGTACTTTCAATTCAAGCCAAATGATTGAGCCATCTGAATTTAGGGATTGGGCCACTTCTGCTGTGCCATAGTCATGCAATATGCCTTTCAAATTTGGGAGGACTATGTGACTAATGTAATTCAATCTAAAATGGAAATAGGACCATTAGGTACATTTTAAACAATTGAAACTTTTGAATGGAAATAGGACCATTAGGTACATTTTAAACAATTGAAACTTTTGAATTTGTGCAATACTGTTAGACTAACAGAGCCTGAAGCCTGTAAGTGAAAGGTGACTCATTCAAGTAGGAAGATGATTTATCAGGAACTATATGGAACGTTACATATGCCTTTTGATGTGGAGGCTTTGACAAAGAGTAAACCCTTTCACAATCTGGATTTATAATAAAAACAAAACCTTAAAGAAAAACATTCGTCTGGGTATTTATTGGGCACTCTGAAGAAATATACTGTTCTTTGGAAGATAAAACGACCTTATAAAATGAGCAATTATGCTAAACTGAATCTTGGTCTGTGTATAGATCTTTTTGTAATATTCATAAAAAATATATAAACATCTTGAAAGCTGCCCAGGTTTGAATAATGTAAAATCATTCTGACTGGAATGACTAAGGTCATGAAGGCAAAGCGGATTACCCAATGTATAATGGCACACAACCTCAACAAAGAACAATAAGAATAAGTAAGAGTTTAACCCCTTGTTGACCGGGGTGTTAAACCCTCTTCCTCTCCAGTCAATTTTTCAGTATTCAGTGCTGCAGTACTTTGACATTTATTCCGCCATGCAACACTGTACTGAAATTAATTTTATACCATTTTTTGGGGACAGATATAGCTTTCTTTTTCTGGTTTCTAATCACCACTCGGGGTTTCAAAATTTCTTTACTATATGATGAAAACGTTCTGGAGATTTTGAAAAAACAAAACAAACCTATTTTCCCACGTTATGCCATAAAATATTTATCAGTACCCAATTTTTGGGTAAAACATTAAAGACGGCGTCACGTCGGGTAAATAGACACCAAACATGTCAAGCTTTAAAATGTGCAACTGCAAAATCACAAAAACTACCATATCTAAAATTGGCCATAGGCGACACTTTAAAAGCTTTTATCGCTTATAAGTTTAGTGTTATCAGTGATTAATGGCCATAGAATAATTGCTCTCACTCCCACATTCACGGCAATATGTAACATGTGTGGTGTAAATGTTGTTTTCACACGTAGGTGCACCAGACGCGTATTTACGTGTATACGTGCGTGCACGCGGGGGCGGGGGACTTACATTTTTTGGAGTGTTTTTTTTAAAATGAGACTTTCTTTTCTTTTTTACTTTTTTTACACTTAGCTTTATTGCAGCATTTTTGTTAATAGTTAAGATACTTGAAGTGAATTTTTAAGATTTAACTCTGAGTTTTGTGTCACTTTTAAGCGACTCTGATCAACAGGTTCTCCTTTGATCATTTTGGCTAGTGCCAACCTATTGTCACTTCTGTGCATTAGAACATTGTTCGAAAGGACCTATCATTTTGCCAACATACTGTATGTGAGCTTTTAAGTAACGCAGTAGTCCATGCTACAATTGTAACCTTGTATTGGGCATTTCTTACCAGAATGTGGATGTATAAAACATGTGCCATAGATTATGGCATTGCAAACATGGCAATTATAGCATTTATAACATGCAACATTATTTGATTCCGGGGAAGAAAAACAACCCATGAATTTCAGGGTAGAGGCGTCTTTCATTAGGTGTGGTGATGTTAGTGTGGTTTCTGTGGGTTATAGACTGCTTAACACAAATCGCAAAGATTTATTTGTTCAAATAAATCTTGCTCCATTAAATAACTACACTACTGGTAGGATTTGCGTTAAACCTACTATGAA